AGAAGGCATTTCTCCAAGACTTGGGCTCTCCAAGGAACCTAAACCTCTTTAAGCAGGTTTGTGGCCTGGCCCCTTCTGTGGGTGGGAAATGCAGCTGGAGTGAGGTGGCTGGGGCTCTGTCCACGACTGTCCAGCAAGTGACGTTCAGGTCACCCCACCGACAAGACCTCATGTCCAGCAAGACCCTGGGCGGCGGCTACTGTGTGCAACCTCCTGCTTCCTAAAGCTCCCAGGCGCTTCCCCTGCGCTTCCGCTAGGCCTGGGAAGAAATGCTATTTCATGCCGGCTCTCTCTCTCGCCCCAGCTGCCACCATGGCTCAGCCGATGTCAGACACGTGGACCAGGAGGTCTAAAAATAGCTCCGATCTGATGTGCCGCTCCCAGGGGCAGAGCTGGCAGCGGCCCGCCACCTCCCTCCATGTGGAGGCCTCTGCTGGATGGGGCGGGGGTGTGGAGTCCTCTGGTGCCAGCCGGGCCCTGGGCAGGTGGCAGGTTCTAGAACCCACCCTCACACTCAGAGCCATGGGCATGCAGCCTGGGCTCTCACAGCTGAGCGCAGGGCCTGCCTCGGTGCGCTGTCCCAGTGGGGAGGGTGCTGGGCACACCTTGCCTTTTGGGTGGTTTTGAGGGAGTCACAGGCGGGACTGGTGTGCAGGGCCGTGCTTGGCCTTGAGAAACTTCTAGAGCTGAGAGAGCCCACTAGAAGCCTACAGCGCCCACCTGCCCTCTGGGGGTCAGGGTGTCTAGCAGCCTTGTAGATTGGCTTTCACTCTCTTCAGCTGCCCAGGAAGGCAGAGAACCTGCCTCTTTGGAGCTGCTTGCTAAGTGCGTTGTGTTCAACCCAAATCTTTCCTGCTTTTATTTTTTTACTTTTATTTTTTGCAGTACTGGGAACTGAAGCCATGTGCACGCTAGGCCAGCGCTCTCTCCTGGAGCCACACCCCCAGGCCCTCTTGCATGCTTTGCTGCACTCCAGCCCCACCTGGCCACCTGTCCCCGGGACGAGTGTCATGTGTGTTTGAAGCTGGGACTCCAGGTATCTTGTGGTCAACGAGTCCAGCCTTCCACTCTAGTACACTCTGATTGGATGGCTGCTACCACGGACTCTGGGCACAGGGATGTCCCTCCGTGGAGGTTAAAATCTAGTTAGATCCCAGCACTCTGGGAGGCTGAGGCAGGAGGCTCACAAGCTTGAGCCCAGCCTGGGCAGCTTAGCAACTTAGCGAGAGCCTCAGGGGACCCACGAGCAACACAGCCAGGCAGAGAGAGGCTTAACGTGGAGACTGGAAGCACAGCCCCTGGGGGCAGCCACCCTGGTGTGCACCCCACAGCGCCCCCTGTCCTTCTCTTGCTTCAGCTTCATCATGGGGACCTCTAGGGTTTTGTGGGGGAATCCTGTGAGCACAGAGTGAACCCATCCATTTCGCTGGCACCAAGGATGAGGCCAGTACATGGAGCTACTATGACACTGAGTCCCCAGAACCATGAGGACCAGGGACAGAAAATGCCCTAACCTGGCAGGGGTGAGGCACTGGAGGGGCGCTGAGCCTGCTCAGGGAGGGCCCCAGGCAGGTGGGCCAGCAGGAGCCAAGCCCCAGTGAGGGGTACCCAGGAAGCCCTCGTGGCTGGGGATGGGGGCTTGGAAGACACATTCCAAGATCCAGGCCACCCCCAGCCGCCTTGTGTAGAAGGGAAACGCAGAGCCCCACAGGCTAGGTCCCTCCCAAGCTGTCGTGGCCCCAGACCTCCTGCACCCCACCTTTGGGCCTTTGCATGTGGTCACCCTGTCTGGGACTTTCTTACCTGGGGTGTGGTCAGCAAGGACAAGACACACAGGAGACAGGTCCTGCCACACCCTCCGGAGCAGGCACCCAGACGAGATGTGCTGTGAATCCCAGAGCCCTGCACCTCAGTAACGGTCGGGACTCCCAGCCAGCCCGGCGCAGAGAGGGGAAGCACAACAGGGTGGACGGGGTGGGCAGGGGACCTGGCAAGTCGGGACACATGGGGGGCTCAGCTCTGCCCTCAACAATGGGGCACATACACCGGATTTGGAGACCCCCGGCCCCCTCTCTTCTCTCTGCCTGGTAATTGGAGCCTTGCTGTCCCCTCTGAAGGAGTCTGCAGGGGCCAAGAGGGGCCCAGCGGCTTGAGGGGTTTGGCTTTCTTCTCTGTCTGCCCACCTCCCCTGCGGAGGCCGCGGTGACAGTGAATGGCCGGAAGCAGGTCGCCCTGGATAAGGGGGACAGACAGACAGACCTGCGACCCAGGCTGACTGAGTGCAGGCCAGGCAGATGTGGCTGTGGGCTCACAGGTATCCCATGCGTGTACAAGTGTGTGGCAGTGTGTGTGTGCACGCCATGTCTGTGGATGTGCATGCGTGTTCCGTATGGCTGACTGGGTCCTCACAGCATGTGTGTCCACGTGTGGGGTGTCCGTGTGGAGTGTGTCCCCATGGGTGGCGTGCGGGTGGGTGCAGGGCTGGGTGTGCACATGGAAGAGGGTGTGTGCATGGCAGCTACACCAGGGTAAGGGCAGGCCCCTGGAGGGCTGCTTTTGTTCAAATGTGCCAAAGGGATAAAGGCATTTTGACAAGAGCAGGGGGATGACTATTATTAACTTCACAGAAAAGCCCTGTCCTGCCTTAGGGCTGGGCTTTGTGGCTCTTTCTGGAAATCGCCTGAAGTGAGCTCGGCCGGAAGGGGTCAGAGAGCACCCCTCGAGCTGGGCTGCTGCCGCTCTGCTGGAGGCGTCCTGGGTGCGCCTCTGGGGACCTGTGTGCTTTGGTGGCCTCAGGCCCCAGGGCCTCCTTGGTGAGCCCAGGGGTGGTAGGTGAGACTCCGAGGGCTAGGGGTCAGGGGGACGTCGGGCTGTCACCAGCCCAGTCCAGCCCCTCCAGGTCCTCATGGCTTCACAGCCTGAAGCTGCCACAAGACTCACGACCAAGAAGGCTCCGAGGTGCGGGCGTGGGACCGGAGCCTCCCCTGGCACGTCACAGGCAGCAGGTTCTGCAGGCTCTCCTGGGTGCTGGTAGGGGCTGGGCCGGCCCTCGGGGCTTGGGGTCCTGTGGGGGACAGAGCCTAACCACAGCTCCCACACACCCTCCACATGGTCTATTGTTTGGGTCACAGACACCAGCTGGACAAGCAGCCAGTCCCTTTCCCTCTGTTTCCTGTCAAAAGGACCCCATGGGGTTGGCAGGGCAGGGGCCCCACCCCATGCCAAGCGCTCCTGCTGGTGCCTGCTGGCCTCAGTCGTTACTACTTGGCGTTGTTGTCATCCTCACCCCGGATCCCTTCATCCTGTCCCCAAGTGCCAACCTACATGCCACTCTGCCCCTGGGACTTCTGGAGCACTTGGAGTCCAGGGCTGAGGCTCTGCAGTGGATGTGGGGATGGGGAGGTAGGCAGAGGGACCCAAAAGAGGAGGCTGTGGCAGGAGGAGGCAGGAGGAGGGGCCTCCTCTCAGGCCCTGCCGAGGTGAGGGCTGCCACCAGGAGTCGGAGACCACTCATCCTTGGCATCTGAGAGGCCTGTGCTGGTGGCCCCAACACTGTGGCAGCTGGGACCAGAGCCAGGTCCTCGCCTGCTCCTAGGCCTGGCCTCCCATCCACGCAGAGCCACTTGCATGGTGGTCCGGCCCCAAAGGAACAGCGGGAGCTACTGGCTCCCTCTGGAGCTCAGTTTCTGGCTGGAGAGGATCCCTGGGTCGGGTCTGGGGCACCAGCCAGCAGGGACCAACTAGACCCCGGCAGAGGGCACGTGTGTGCCAGCAGGGTCCTGGGCAGCAGGCACAAGTCTCCTCTGTCGTGGATAGGCGACACTGCTCCTGACCAAGGGGCGCTCCTGGGGGCTGGGAGGGGCTGGGAAGGCACGCGCTTTGCAGTGTGGCTTTGCTCCCAGGGCAGCCCCTGCAGGTGGCCATGGCCAGGAAAGAGCTGCCTGCTCTACACAGGGCCCACGGCTGGAATTCGGTACCTGCCTCAGTCTCCACCCAGCCCAGACTCAGATCTCCAGTGACTTCCTGGGGCTTCAGGTCCCCTGCCTGGCCCACGGGCGCTGGCAGGAAGCTGGTGCCCTTTGCACAGTGGCAGCTGGAGGAGGTGGCCTGGGGCTCAGGGGCGCTCAGTGCACTCAGGCTGTGGCTCTCACTGCCTCCCATCTGAGCTCCTGCCTCCGTGCGTCTCCTGCTCCTCCTGCCTTCCCTTCCCGTCCTCCTCCTCCCCATCTCCTCCCTCCCTCCTCTTACCTGTCTCTGTCTCAAATCCTCCCTCCCTCTTGTCTTTCCTCCTTTCAACTACAAATGCTCTGGGCTTACAATGCTTTAACTTACAATGCCCTGACTACACTGCTGTGAAAGCGGTCTGCAGTCAGTAGAACCTGCGCATGGGGTTTGAATTTGGGTCTTTTTCCGGTCTTGTGATATTCGGCACAGTCCTCTCTCGATGCTGACAGTCCTGTGATCCCAGGGGAAATAGCTCACCCTTCCTGCCGGGCGCACTGCGCTGAGCTGTGGGCCTCAGTGGTCAGGTGTCTCAGATGTAGTTTGGACCTAATACTTCCAATTTAAGACATGTTTTTTGGGACATAACCCCAGGGTGTCTCTGACCTGTCCCAGCGCCGACCATGCGCCAGAATGTCACCTAAGTGGAACCACGTGGTCTATGACTGCTGACAGAGGCAGGCCCTGCAGCGTGTGGCCCTCAAGAGCCACCGTATCGATGGACCCTGCCCTGCATCCCCCGGTATGGACATGCATGTTTGTTTATCCATCTACCTCTTGAAGGATAATTAGCACCTATGAGTATGACTGGAAAAACATCTGTGTACATGCTTTTTGTGAGGACATAAGTTTTAGTTTCCAGAATAAAAACCCAGGTGTAGGGGGCCAGGGATTTAGCTCAGTGGTGCCGCTGCCAGCCTCAAAAGTGCAAGGTCCCTAGTTCTATCCCCGGTACCAAAAAAAAACACAACAAAAAAAGCCCAGGTGTGCGTGACACGGCGAGAGCATGGTTTACTTTATGAGACTCTCAGCTGTTCCCCAGGGAGCCTGGACCATTGCTTTCATCCCTGCCTTCTGTGAGCATTCCTGTTGCTCCATACTCCCTCCAGCACTTGATATTGTCAGTCCAATACAAGTTTTAGTGATTTCCGTAGGAAGCAATGACTCGTTGTGTGTTTTTTCATTGCGATTTTATATTTGTTTCCTGATTTTACAATGTTGAGCTCTTTTCCTGTGCTTATTTACCATTGTATGCCTTCTTTGGTGAAACGTCTGTTCAAAAATTTGGCCCATTTTGAAACACTGGGTTGATGTGTTGTCTCACTGATGGCTTTGGAGCATCCATTATATATTCTGGTCTCGGGTTTCCTGATGTCTTCAGACCAGAGATAGTGAACCCATGGCACCCATGAAGCACCAGGCTGTTTATCACTGAAAGCTCTAAAAGGTTCGCCACACTGTCCTAGCCTGCCTTTTCTTAACAATGCCATCACATAACAGGAATTTTTAATTTTGATGAAGTTTCATTCATCAAGCTTTCTTTTATGGATCATGAGTTTGCTGTCATATGTAAGAACTCTACCCAAGGCAAGGCCATGAAGATTTTCTCCTAGGTTTTCCTTTTAAAATCTTTCTTTTACATCTTAACCTATGCTACATCTTGTTAACTGTTGCATATGAACAACTAACTGTTCCTGTGTCATTGGGCAGACTTTCTTTTCTTGACTGAGGTGACTTAGCGCTTCTATAAGAAACCAGTTCACTGTAATTACATGGCCTGCTCCTGGGCTCTGTTCTCTTTCCCTGATCCACATTTCTCTCTGCCAATGTGACTCTGTAGTTTTTTAGTAAAGTCCCAAAATCATAGTGTGAGTTCTTCAAATTTATTCTTTTGTGAAGTTATTTTGGCTACTCTAGGTCCTTTACCTTTCTATGGAGATTTTAGAATCTGCAAAAAAAAAAAAAAAATCCTGTTGGTATGTTTATTTTTACTGAAATTACTTCTAATGTATAAATCAATTTTGGGGCAACTGTCACCTTTACAAAACCGCATCTTCCAATCCATGAGCTTTGTATGTCTCACTATCATCTAGATTTTCTTTGATTAGCATTTTGTAGCTTCAGCATGCAAACATTGCATATTTCATTAGAATTCTATCTAAGAATTTCATTTTTGGAGCTAATTTAAATAGTGTATATCTTAAAAATTTGTTGCCCATCAATAGTTTATAAAATGCTATTGATTTTTATATGCTGACCTAGTACTGTAAGACATTGCTAGATTTATGAATGAATTCCATGGAGTTTTATAGCTACTTCGTGTTTTCAGTCTCAGCAATCATGTCACTTACATTTGGGGCAGTTTCACTCCTTTCTTAGCAGTCTTTCTGTGTATATTTGTCTTTAACTTCGTGCACAGGCTAGCCTTCCAGTACGATACTAAATCAAAGGGAGGGGAAAATAACATCACGGCCTCATTCCCGACCTTAAGACTAAAGCATTCCACCTTTTATCATTGAGTATGACATTAACTGTAGGTTTCTGTAAAGGCCCCATGTCCACGTTGGGTTGAGGAAATATCCTTTCATGTTTAGTTTGCTGAGTTGTTGTTGTTTTTTTTTTTTTTTTACCATGAGTGGATGTTAAATTTTGTCAACCGCCTTATTTCTGCATCCATTGATGTGCCAGGTGGTTTTTGTGAATAATATCATAGATTACTTCAATTGTTTTTTTTGAATACTGAACTAGCCTTCCAGTTCGCACATAAACCCTAGTCAGATCTGTCGCATCATTCTTTCAACACACTATTTGATTTGCTGATATTTTTGAAGACATTTGCATCTTTATTTAGAGGAATATTGCATGCAGTTTAATTTTCCTGCGACGAGTTTGTCTGGCTGTCATGACGGGGTAATGCTGGTCTCATAAAATGAATAGGGAAGTCTGCTTCCTTTTCCACTTTCCAGAAAAGAGCACGCAGATCTGGAGTTGTTTATAGTTTAAGTGACGGCAGGATTTACTCCCTTTTTCAAGGTTCCCTTAAGATCTGGGCACAGCCCTGCAAGGAGCTCTCAGGGTGGGTTGTTCTCCACAATCAAAAGTTTCAACGCCACTTCTGCAAGCAAGGGATTGTAGGCCCAGACAGGCAAACTTCAGCCTCCTGCCCCTTGTGGAAATCGCTTATTTTCCGTCTCAGCCAGGCTTGGGCAGAGCCCTCGCTAACACCCAGTGGAGCAAGACAGTCTGGGATTTCTTCTCCAATTTGCCCAGACCATGACTGGCTATGTGATTTTGGGGAAATCGGTCAGTCTCTCTGAATCTCAGATGAGTCAACAGAAAAAAGAAGTGCTGATGTCAAAAAGCCTGCTCACAGGACTCGAGGGTTCTCCTAGAGCCAGAGATGGGGGTTGCAAATAATTCCAAGGCTCACAGTGGAGCAGAGTGGCTGACAGAAGACAGGAAGAGTGCACCCCAGGGAGCAGGGCTCACCCACCAGGTGGTGGCTTCAATGTTCCCCTGCTGGCCGCTCCCATTCTCAGAGGCATCCATTCCTGGGCCCCACTGGACCAGGTAACACAGCTGTGTGGCAGACTGCGAGGGAGCCCAGGGTTCAGGGCAAACCCTGCTTCTCCGCTGTCACGAGGGGCAGGCTGGACTTAGTGCTGAAGGCAGAGGCAATGGAGTCCCACAGAGGCATGTGGCAGGCGCTAAGGGCACTAGCCCTGGACCAGGCTGCCTGATGATGCAAAGCCCTGTGCAGCCACTTATGCAGCTGGGTAAACTGAGGCTGCAGTTTTCCTCCCGTGAGATGAGGCTAATACTGTGGTTATGAGGAGTAAATGAGTTAATACTTTGCACCGTGTGAAGCAGCTTGCTTGAGGAAGAATGAGGTCATAAAATGTGGGCAGAAGCTCAGAGGCCAGGCAGCTCGCCCTCCCTGCTGCATTTGGGTGGCCGGGGCTAAGTCAGGAGGTGACCTGCCCATGCTGACAGTCCTGGGGGGCACAGGCCAGGCCCAGTTCCGAGCGCTCTCTGCATTACCACCTGTGCTCCATATGAGCCAGTGTTCTCGGGGGAGGCAGTGCGACAGGAGGTGACACAGACATGGAAGCAGACCCAGGAGGAGCAGGTTGGTGTCTTCTCATCTGGAACCTGCCAAGGAAGGGAAGACTCGGGAGTTTGGAGGCCTGGCAGCCGCGTGTCGCCTGCATCACTGTGCCTTCCCCTCGCGACGCTGCACCTCCGGTCGCACCGCGCCTCACCTCCGGTCGCACCGCGCCTCACCCACCGGCCCTGTACCCGCGCTGTCGCAGAGGAGGGCGCGCGCGTCCTAGGTATGAGATCACCGGGGTGCAGCGTCCCTCCCGCGACGCTTAGGGTCTGGCGCCACCGTGTGGCCGCCGGCCAGGCTGTCTGCGCGAAGAGCTGGAAGGCCAGCTAGAAGTAGCCCGCGGGGGACCTCAGAGGTCACCCAGACCAACCGGAAGCAGACAGGCAGAGGCCTGCGGGGAGGGCGAGAGGAGAGGGGACCGCTCCCAGCACTCCCAACTGGTGTTTCCTGAGAGAGGAGGTGGCACGACTGGGCACGTTCAGAGGAGAAATGCCTGTGCCCTTGGGGACAACAGCGTGTGTAGGCAGGAGGGACAGGCACTTTGCTTGTGCTGTTGGGGGACAAGCAGCATCAGGGAGGCAGAGGCCCCAGCCCTGCCTCCCCGTCCCTGTGTGATTGGCACTGGTCAGCTCACTCTCGGACACGGGGGTCCTCGGCCATAAAGCCTCAGCAGTGTGCAGACCTAACTGCTACAAGACAGTGCTCCTGTCACCTCCAGGACCCCAAAAGGAGAGCGGGGAGAGAGGAGGAGCCTTGCTGAGGCCTGGAGGCATCAAGGAGGGAAGGGAGAGCTGCGTGTTCGGCGGACCAGGAGGCCCACACTCACACTGGGCAGGTTGATTGCCGTAGATCCTGGAGTGCGCTGTGCCTGGCACCTCTTTGCTGCTGGGCTTGGGGACAGGCTCCAGCTTTGCCCCTCCTGTGCCCTGGGCTGTCACAGTTGAGACAAGTCAGCTTCTCCTGCAAGTGTTCCGGTCTGATTAGCATGTTCGGGGCTGCTTCCCTTCCTCTGCCCTAGCCTCGGTGGGCAGAGAGGCAGCCTGGGGGAAGATGGAGGGTGGGGGACAGGGCAGGGCTCCTTTGGGCCTGGGAAGGGCAGACCTTGGTGAACCTGGGCGTAGGCGTCATAGATAGGCAGGCTCAGTTCTGCCACACAGCCCCTCCTTCAGCAGCTGGCCATTTGTGGGGCAGCACAGCAGTCTGTAGTCTGGTTTCCGGTGGAGTCTGTGCCCATGGCACCAGAGCAGAGCTGAGTTTCGGATCAGGGACCACTTTGGATTGGTGAGATCCTCAGTGCCAGGCAGAACTGGATGCCTTTCTCTCCTCCTCCTTTGATTCCCTCCTACTTCTCTCTCTTCTGATTTTTTTCCCTCTCTCTTCCCTCTCTTAGTCTGTGCATCTCTGTCCCTCTCCCTGCCATAGCTCTGCCAATAGGGCACAGCAGTCTCCCTCCCTTCCTGGGCCTCTCCCCTGGTTCCCTGGTGTTGTGAATTCACAGGCCCGGGAAGAAGCAACAAGTCGTGGGAAGTGCCACAGCCAGCAAGTGACAGAACTCGAAACAACCAGAATGTAGGGCTTTGCTTCCCCTCAGAGCCTCAGTCTCTCCGCTTGGTAGACGGCGATACCTAGACCTGGCCCACACAGGTGACTCCGTGAGCTGGGAGACCTGCAGCGCCTGGCTGGGGCAGGCGCCCTTGAAATGCAGACAGCATGCCACGGCACTGTTCTCCAGACCCCGAAGGGGGGACCCGTTGCTAGCACGTTTGTTGGAGTTCATGACAGACAGGAAAGACAGATGAGAAGGGGCTGACAAGAGGACAGGGGTGAGCCCAGAGACAGCAAGGCTGGGGGCCGTGAGAGCTGTGGCTTACTCTGAGGGCGGTGGCAAGCTGAGGTAGGTCAGCAGAGGGAGGGAGTGGCACCGTCACACTCGGGATCCGAAAAGAGCACTTTGGGTGCCAGGTGAAGAGGTTGTCATGGGGCAGAGTGGAAGTGCAGGCTGCTGAGGAGACTCGATGCTGGCAGGGAGGGCAGTGCCTGTGGGGACAGAGAGCACCATACATAGTCCCAAGCGGGCCCCTGGAAATGCTCGAGGACAGCAGGGCCTCGATGGGGTGTCATTCATGGGCTGCATCTTTAGGACTCCAGCCGGGCATTTCAGAAGGCGCAGTAATGTATGCCAGCTCCTCCCATGGGCCTGGCACCTGGTCCGCGGCTCCTGTTCTTGATCTAACTGGGCACACAAAGCCCAGGACTCGGACTCTTGCTGGTTTTACCTGGCACCTTAAACCCTCCTCTTGCCTGGGGCTTGAAGACAGAACTCCAGGGTGAGAGCTTACCAGGCACGTCTTCTGGCTGATCCAGCGCCACCCACCCCGGAGGCTGTGTCAGGGTACAGGGCTGGGACAGCTGGCTCGAGGTCCCCGTCTGCAGAGTTGACCTGGAGCCTCTGCTTTTCCACCTGTACCTGCGCCCTTTGCCCCTTGGGCCTTCCACGGAGCCTGGGTGTCACCCTGAGAGTAGAGTCAGTGGATGCAGGACTGCCCAGGGATGGAGGCTCCCTAGCCATCTCTGGGCCTCCCTGGTGTAGAGGGGGACACACAAGCCGCAGTGGACAGTGGCCTGGGGCCACCTCCTACATGCTCTGCCATCGACTCCAGCCTGAGTAGGTGGGGTGGCGCTGGGAGCCCCAGCTGTCCCTCTGCCATCGGTGAGAATTATGCCCATTGACTCACCACCTGGGTGTGGCCAGCCAGGGAGCAGTACTCACAAATGTCAATTACCTTCCTCTCCAGACCGTTAGATCTGGGGGCCGCCCTGCCAGAATGGCCCCCAACTGAACCTGGGGAACCCCTCAGACCTGCTGAGATGCCTGACTGGCCGGCCCTGGGCTATCATGTGGCCCTCCTGGCTCATTCTCCAGATGAGCAGATGGAGGCCAGGAGGGCTAGGATTCCTGACCCCAGGCCTCAGCACTGTGTCCTTGGGCCGGATGAACCTAGACTCACATCCAAGCCTCCAGAACTTCTGCCCACAGCGGTGGGAGGGGCTCTTGGTGTTAGCGGACTTCTGCCGGGTCCTACTGCAGCCCCGGCGCCCACCCACGCTCCTGTGTTCTGTCCCCTGTCTCCTGGCAGGTATATCCGCACCATGTACCTGGGGATTCAGAGCCAGCGGCAGAAGGAACACCAGCGACGCTTCTACTGGGCTATGATGTACGAATATGCAGACGTCAACATGCTGCGCCTCCTGGAGACCTTCCTGGAGAGCGCCCCCCAACTGGTGCTACAGCTCTGCATAATGATCCAGAAGAACAGCGCCGAGACGCTGCCCTGTGAGTGCCGCGCGTCGGCCCCGCCCCGCCCACCACGCCCACCTTCCGGCCACGCCCCCACCGGGCTGACCCGCGGCTTCCGGCCCGCGCAGGTCCTGGCATCTCCCCTGGCGCCGCGGGTCGGGGATGCCCAGCTCAGGGCATGCGATGCTGATGGGGCACAGATTTCCCCGACCCCCCTGTGGGAGCCTGCTCAGCCTTCCCAAGACACCTTGACCCCCCGGGCAGCGCAGAGCGGGCTCTCTTGCGCCTGGGGCAGCAGGGCCAGCCGGGTCCCCGCAGAGCTCAGAGCCTTGGGTCTCCCAAGCCGCCGGAGCGGCCCCTCTCCTCGGGCGTTGGCCTGGGCCGGGTGTTTGCCCCTCTGTGGGTGGGAAGCTCGGCCTGGAGATGGCATGCGACTCTAAGGCAGAATCCGATAGGCGTCAGACGTGGGCTCAGCTGTGCTGCTCTTGCTCCAAGCTCAGGCAGAGGCCCGGCTGTAAGACAGGCTGCAGGGGTTGAGCTCCAGTTGGGGAGAGGGTGGCACACACCTGTCCCTGGCCTCAGGTACCGCCCGGGGATCCTCAGGAGCCCAGCACAGTGCAGACAGCAAGGTCTCCACAGCAGGGGGCCCTCTAAGCACTCTGGCCGCAGGAGCTCCCCTGAGGTTAGGTGTGCGGGTCAAGGCCAGGTCTCAGAGCATGTGCCAGGGGCACAGGAGCTCTCCCAGGGCAGGAGGTGCGGGACCGGAAGGGCCAGAAACGGCGACCCCTGGGGGAGATGGGATAGCCCGGGAAGTCTTGGGGTGTATGAATCCCAGCATCTGCAGAGGTGTCACGGGGAAGGAAAAATCATGCCAAAGGGCAGTGCAAGCGCCAGGGAGACTTGTCAATTCAGGTGGGAGAGATTCCATCCAGCAACCGGAAGCTGGTCTCAGGAGGCAGTGATTGTCTCGTCGCTAGGAGTATTCAAACAGAAAAGTTGCCGGGAGGATTCATCCCGAGGTGCTGACTGAGAGGCTGGCAGGAGCATGTGTGATCTAGCAGCAGAGGCAGCTGGGGGAGAGGCGCCTGCCCTGCTTGGCCCTGCTCCTCCGGCTAGTGTGTTTCCTGGGCTGTCACCTCCAGGCCCTGGCAGTCTTTATTCAGTGTCTGCTGTGTCTGGTGATGCTTTTGTTGTAGCTCTGTCTGCCGAATGGGGCCCCAGGTGTTACTGGTGAGATCCCTGGTTCATTGGCCGTGCTTCGTCAGGCTTTGCGATGACTCCCACCTGCCCTATCGTGTGAATGCTGTAGGTGGGTGGAGAGATCACTGATACCATCCCGACTGCTTTACTAGTTGGGCTTTCCATTCATCTTGCCCGGCGTCAACCTCTGCCCGTACCTTGCTTGCCATCTCTCTACACCTGGTCCTCACTAGTCACTGGGGTAACAATACAGTATTCAGCCTGCAAGGTATATTTGTATGCAGTCTCCCCACAAATATAGACTTTGGTGAAATAATAATAAATAATTAATAATAATATGCTGGAGTCATGTGCATGGAGGCTGTGCTGGTGTTGGGCTTGGGGTGGGCTTGGAACGCAGCCTAGCCTGCAGAAAAGGCAGAGAGAACTGCCTGCAACTTTCTACCCTGTCATTTTGGACTTGATGATTGAGGCGGGGCAATTTCCTGTGCTTCCTCATTGGTAAAGTGGGAATAATGGAGACTTCCAGAGTGGCTGCCAGGGTGGGGTGAGCCACATCCATGGCTCCACGTCGGCGAGGCAGTTTGCGATTCTGCACAGGTGTGTCCAGCCAGGGGCTGGCGTGTGCTGAGGAGTCACAGGGAACCCAGCAGGCCTGGTGCCCACCTTTGCAAATCTTCCGTCCTCTCTGGGAGATGGCCCGAAACAATTAGATGTGGGAAGTCTCCGTGCCTACGTGATGTGGGGCCGGGGCTAATAGGAAGGAAGCCCACTGAGGCAGGGGCCAAGGAAGCCTCTCTGGAGAGCTTCCACTTAGGTGAGGGAATGATGGCAGGCAGGAAGGAGCAGTGATGGGAAGAGCCTGCTCAAAGGCCCTGAGGCAGAAAGAGTGTGGCTTGGTCTGGTGTGGCTGGTGAGCAGTAGGAGGGCAGGAAGGAAGCAAAAGGCAGGGCCCAGAGAGGGGCCTAGTGGCCCCACAAGCTTGAATTTAGGCCATGTGTGGGGGGAGAGGTCATGCAGAAAACTTGACAGAGCTGTGCAAGGGAACAAAGACACCTGGCACAGGTGCGGGGTTGTTGAGGGCTCAGAGGACGGGGACCAAGGGAGTCAGGACATGGAGCGGTGGGCACCTCAGAGGCTGTTCTGGAGAACTGACCACAGGAGCAGAAGAGCCTGACACGTGCACAGCAGAAGGCCTTCTAACTGCGCTTCTGGCAAGAGTGAGCCTGGGGATGGATGGGACTTGCCAGTGTTGTCAGCTCTCCTTACCTTGGGCCTTTGAGATGCATCTGTGTGAACTTCGGCGGGGTCGGGCTGGGGGCTCGCTAGCAGGACTCACAGTGCTGGAGGGGCCAAGTCCTCCTCCTCACGGGGCTCCGTGACCATCTCGTTTTCATCCCAGCATGGGCCAGGCGTGTTCCGAATGCGTTTGCAAAGTCACCCGCCCTTCAGGAATTTAGAGTTTGGTACTCTGCATTTTAGACTTCAAAACTTAGGCACTGGTTCTTCGGGAGCACAGAGGAGAAGGTAACTGTTTCTGGGGACATCACAGAGGAGGTGACGTTCATTCTGGGTCTTGATGGATGAGTAGGAGCTCACTCAGAGGAGAAGGTTGGGCATTGGAACACAAGTGCCAAGGGACAAGGCCTGAGAGAGCCTGTTTCGGTGGGTGGGGAGGGGCTCTGAGCCCAGGGACCATGGAGTGCGTTGCCCACAGGATGGTGGTGATAGTGGTGGCTATGCCAACACCCAAAGTTAAAACTTGGGAGCTCAGAACGGGGTTTAGTCTAAGCTCATATGGACTGATTAACCATTGAAGTCCCACGGCAGCTCTTGAAGCAGACGCTTTTATTATTCCCATTCTGTGGCTGATAATGCTGAGGCCCAAAGAGGTCAGGGACCATGCACAAGGCCATAGGCTTGTGAGGGGGGACTGGGGCCTCTACCCAGGCAGCCAGGCTCCAAGCCTGTGCTGTAAGCCAGGGCAGCTGGGGCTGAGTCTGAAGGAGACAGACTTGCACGAACTCTGTGGGAGCAGGTCCGTGATCCAAGGGAGAGGAAGGACTGTCACGCACCACTGCCCAGCTGGGGACCAGCACACGCTGATCAGCATGGGTGTGTAGGTGGGCGTGAGTTCCAGGGGCCACCACAAGGACTGGACCAGAGAGGACACTTCTGCCTCTTGTCTCCTGAGTGTGTGTAGCCTGGCAATTTGAAAGTGTCCTCAGTCTCAGAGCTTCCTGCCCAGGCCACCTCTGCAAGGTGCTCCCAGAGAGAGCTGAGTGTGACCAGTCAGGAATGGGCTTGAGACTTAGGACCCTCCTGTCCTAAGGCTTGTCCACACACAGACGCCAGGCACCCGCTCTGGGAAAACCTTGCCACTTAAGCACCCGCCTGTCATTCTGACCTCGAATGAGGTTCTTGAGAGATAAAGGGAGTCCGGCCTCTTTGAAGGCTGCCTGTCCTCCTGCTGCCCTGCACATAAAATCTCAGCCTCTGTGCTGGAAACTGGGACTTCAGTGATTATGGAGCTCACCACTTTTATAGATGGAGAAGCTGAAGCCCAAGGGAGAGCGAGGACTATTCCAAAGTGCCCCACCGGCTCGGTCAGAGGTTTGGCAATGAATCCTAGTGCCCCACACACCCAATATGGTGCACGGTCCTTCAATCTTCTTAGACTTCTGTCTCAGAGGAGCCAGAGGAAATCCCAGGTGTCCTCAGAGACCGCCTAACTGCAGGTACCCCTCAACCTTCAAATTCAGTTAGGGCCACAACTGGAGGTCCCTAGATGGGCTTGGGTTTGGGCTGGGACTGGAACTTGAAGGTAGAGTAATGGGGTACAGAGCTGGTGAGGTGCAGAGCAGCCCTGCTCAGGGGAACATTGACAATGTGCCCCCGGGGCTGGGCGTCTCTTGGCGGTGAACAAAGCAGGCTGTGACTTGTTCTTCTAAGCGACACTGTCATGCGGTGCTTTCCAGGAGCTCTGGGAACCCATGAGTGGAGGTGGGGAGATGTCAGCCTCAGGGGCCATCGATCCCATTGTGAAGCTGACACACAGAGGAGGAAGGAAGTTGCCACAACAAGGCAGGCACTCTCAAAGGGCCCCCTGCCCCTTGCCACCTGGCCTGCAGTTGAGATGACGACATGACAGGAAGAGCCCATGGTCCTTCAGCTAGCCATTCATAATCACAGATCCCAGGGTCACACTTGCATCCACACAAGCGTCTTTGCTAAGGCAAAGAAGTGCGAGAGAACATGAAGCCCTGCAACCAAACGTGGATCTTCCTTTACACAGACGTGTCTGAGAAGCAATGAGGCACCGTTGTTTCTGTGTCTTTGGTGCCAACCACCCTACTAGTTTCTTCCTTCTTAACTCCACTGCCAGACTCCTCTGGCCTCACAAGCCCTTCCGGTGGCTTGCACTGGAATTTCACGTCAGCTTCTTTTTCTAGCAAGAGCTCTGACTGACAGCAACCAAATGACTCAAATAGGTGAGCGATCTTTCCCCTTCTCCTGCTCACATTAGGCTAGTGTGCCTGTGCTGTCTCCAGCTGCTGCTCCGCATGCTGCTTCTTCCCCTGGTGAGGGCAAAGAGCCTCTCACAGGAGCCTCAGCTCCCATGGCTCGGTGCCCTGACCAGGCCTCCCTCGAGGAAGGAGCACGGTTTCCGGTGCTGGTCCACAGGCGCATGGAAGGCCTCCCAAGGCTTCCCAGTGCTGGCTGCTGGGCTCCTGCTGCACCTCCCTTCCTTCTTCTCCCCAAAAGGGACAACATCCATGTCTCCTCTTAGAGCATTTCTTTTCTTAAGTGACAAATGCTCTCTGGTCCTTTCCAGTCCTGCTCACGTGCGCATTGGCTGTCACTCTCTGCAAGTCCAGAACACAAAAGGTAACTACTT